GTGCGTTCCTGCCCAAAAATAGTCCTGCTAGGCTTACAACAGAATAATATACAATCTCAGGTTAAAATTAATTAAAACAGGCCAATAAATACCAATATATAAAACAACTTAATCAAAAATGGGAAAAACACAACACAGGTAAGATGGTAGAGAAAGCTCCAACACCCCAGCTTCCCAGGGGGGAGGGGTTACGAGGGATGGGGACTTGTGTGAGAGTGCCAAAGACCGCCCCATTGGTGTCCCCAACTGAAGGCCCAGCAGAACATCTCTGCCTTGCATGCCCTGCGGAATGGGAACAGCTCCCGCAGGGCACGGATGTCTTCCGACAGAGCGTTCCACTAATTGAGGACAGCCGGACTTCTCTTGGGCTGGGGACCACCAGGAAGTTCTTATTTCCTGAGTGTATCGCTCTTCCAGGGGCATATAGGGAGAGGCGGTCCTGAAGGTATGCAGGTCAAACATCCCCTTACGATGGAAGCAGCTGTTTCTGGACGGCTACTCTCTGAATACACAAAGATGATGCCTCCGATGATGAGGAAGAAAGCTAAGATCGAGTCTTTGCTTTGGGGGGAAACGCTTTGCAGGAGAAGAAAACTTGGTCCTAGAAAGCCCACTGGCAGATGTCATGACACACATGAGCACCAATGTTGGAGATCACTTAGGGACGGCAGATCCGGGAGACCTGGGAGGGGAAAGCGTCACTGACACTTTGACATCACTTGTGGTTGGTAAATACCATAGAGATTTTGGCAGTTCCTAGAACGTCATTGGGGGAGTGATGTCATTTCTAAGTCTTTACCCAGAAGTGACGTCAAACCTTCAGCAGTGATACCTTCCCATTTTCCTTCCCATTGCTTACTATAGCAAAGATGGACAATGGAGTATTGTGATAGGAATGCCAAGAACCTGGCAACCATAGGATCTCTGCTTTAGAGAGCTGAAGGTATGTGGGCCTTCTGAGAACCTGGAACAAGGTGGTTAGCACCTTATTTAATGACAAAAGTATGTTCCCTGGTCGGAATGGCAAGCCCTTTAAAGAATAAAAGCCTTCTGTCCAGCTCCCTTAACTTTCAGCCGTTACATAGCTTCTCCATCCCATAATTCTAACTGGGACCCAATACCAGTGATGGTTCTATTTCCCAGGGGAAGTGAATTTCTTCAAGTTACCTTGTTTCATCACACTATTAAGATGTCTAAAAACTCCTTGGAGTCTTAGATTAGTTGATTTGAACTATATATATATATATATATTCTTAGCGCTCATCCTTCCTTCTGAGAGATGTTTACGGGTGAATGATTTTTCCTGCCGTTTTCAAGGATTTATTGATTTAATTTGTTGCTCTGAAAATGGGAAAATTCCTCCCTGTTCAACACTTGTCATCTGTGAAGGCAACTGAAACTCCTACACCACCCTTCTCGTCTTCACTGACACATGTGTGATAGAGCCTTCCATCTTAAGGACACTGAGGTAAAGGTAAAGGTTCCCTTGCTCGAAAGCCAGTTGAGTCCGACTCTAGGGTTGCGGTGCTCATCTCTGTTTCAAAGCTGAAGAGCCAGCGCTGTCCGAAGACGTTTCCGTGGTCATGAAGCCGACATAACTAAACACCAAGGCACACGGAACGCTGTTACCTTCCCACTGAAGTGGTACCTATTTTTCTACTTGCAATTTCTTGCTTTCAAACTGCTAGGTAGGCAGGAGCTGGAACTAGAGACGGGAGCTCACTCCGTCATGCGGCACCCGGGTCTCGAACTGCTGAATTTCCATAGCCTGCAGTTCAGCGTCTTAACCACTTGAGCCACCGCAGCTCCTAAGGACACTGAAGGACCTAGCAATTTGGGATTCCATGTATATGAGCATATGAAGCTGCTATATACCTCCCAACAACTATGCTGTGAGCTAGGCCAGGCCAGGAGTGTGTGACTGGCCCGAGGCCACCCAACAAACTTCCGTGGCAGAGCAAGGGATTCAACCCTGGGTCTCCCAGACCATTACACCACACTGGCTAATCCACATACCCCACACCATTATGCTAATTTCATAAACTTCCGTCTACCAAGGGGTGCAGATCCTAATGGAGAGACTTCAAATGTCACTCCATAAAAACCCCAGCGAAGAACACATTATCGTTTTCCTTTGGCTACTCATCTATTAATGATCACGTAGCCACTTTAAGGTTTTCACATTGGTTGCCAAGGCAACGTTCCCACGAGTGACATAAGAACACAGATTGTTACATCAGCATTCTTGGGTGGCCGTTTCATCTGACTCTAGGTGGCTCAGTGCTTTAAGCATAGGAAAAGGGGTCTCAGGGGAACCATGTGGGTCTCCTCCACCCACAGTTAGGATATCTTTCTCGGGGCAGGTCCCCATGACCTGTATCTTCTCTCTTCCTGATTACGGACACCAGTTGAAAGTCAACGGGAAATATGGATTGGCTTGACAGCAAACGAGCGAAAGCCCTTAGGGTCTCCAACGATAGGGAGACATTTCAGGTACAGTGTGGTTGTTGTTGTTCAGTCGCACAGTCGAGTCCGACTCTCCGCGACCCCATGGACCAGATCACACCAGGCTCTTGTCTCTTCCGCCATCCTCTGAAGTTGGCTCAATTTCATGTTCGTTGCATCTATGACACTGTCTAACCATCTCATCCTTTGCCGTCCCCGTCTTCTTTGACCTTCAATCTTTCCCAGCATCAGGGTCTTCTCCAGGGAGTGCTCCCTTCTCATTGGGTGGCCAAAGTAGTTGCGCTTCAGTTTCATTCTCTGGCCTTCCAGGGAACAGTCAGGGTTGATTTCTTTTAGGATGGACTGATTTGATCTCCTTGCAGTCCAAGGGACTCTCAGGACACAGTGTGGTACAACAATGTATATATGCATTCCTTGAGTTGCTAAGCAGCTCAATGTGAAAGCCTGTGGCAAAAGAACAGGGACATTAAAATAGGGCCGCTGAGAAGAGAGCAGTTCCTTGAAGTCACATCTGTTGCTGTTGACTCTTTCAGCCTGCAGCCACACATGGTTGGATATTTCATTCTTATTACGCTATAGCAATCACGGCCCTGGGCGGGATGGCCCTGGCTACCCCAATCTCATCTGATCTCAGGAGCTAAGCAGGGTCGGCCCTGGTTAGTGTTTGGATGGGATACCACCAAGGAGAAATCCAGGGTTGCCATGCAGAGGCAGGCAGTGGCAAATCACCTCTGGACGTCTCTTGCCTCGAAACCTAACAGATGACGCAAAGCACCAAAAAAACGCTGGCTAAAGGTAAACAGAAATGTATAAAAATAATATTTAATGCCAAGTTCAGTTATTGTAATTCCATAGTCCATGATCCTTTATGACTGAAGAGACTGGCTTCGGTATGTGCTTCAACTGAGATTGGGTCCCACTATGGCCTATTGATGGAGCTCCGGTGGCTCAAGTGGTTAAGAGGCTGAACTGCAGGCTGTGGAAGGTCGGTAGTTCAGCAGTTCCAGACCTGGGTGCTGCATGACGGAGTGAGCTCCCGTCTCTAGTTCCAGCTCCTGCCAACCT